TCAAAATACACTGACAACATTATGACAGAATCAGAAGTCAGTTGTACAAGTGTACGGTATGTACATGTACATGTACTTTCTTTTTCCAAAGGTTATATTTCGTGAGGGACAGTTGTTAAGTGGTGTTTTGGATAAGTCACAATTTGGTGCTTCTCAGTTTGGCTTTGTCCACTCTTGCTATGAGGTATTAATGATAATTAAAATAATTTATTACCATTATTCCTTTCTGTAGTTGTATGGAGGTACCATGTGTAATTATCTGTTGTCAGCTCTTGGCAGAATCTTCACTGGTTTCCTTAAACTCTATCACGGGTTTAGTCTAGGAGTGGAAGACATATTAGTGAAACCAATGGTACATTGTACATGTATATAATGGTTGTAAACCGTCATAATTTGTAGTACATTGTACATGTACATGTGTGTAATGTATATGTACAAACATGCATGATTTTTTTCTTCTTTTCTTCCTCCTCTTTTTGTCCTCTAGGCAGATAAAGAGAGATTTAAAATTATTGCTGAGGGTAGAGATTGTGGGCTTGAAGCAGCTGCTGATGCTTTTGTAGTTAAAAATGTTAAAGATAAAGGTATACATATTGTTGTGCTATTATTATTTTTTTTGTTTAGGGACGGTCTCAAAGTGTTAGATTTCTTTATGAAAAAGAAAACTGATCAAATCAATAATAAAGTTAACGTGTAAGTACAACATGCATTTGTGAAGCAAGAGTGCATATAATGTATCCATTCTGTTCGTTTTGTAGAGATTTGTATGTGTACCTACTTCCATTCTCTCTTGATCTTTCCTTTTATTCTACCATGCTTGTTTTGAATTGACCAATCAGATTGCATTATATGAGGTGTCTAAATCACTTATAATACCCCGGGAAAATATTTAGAAACCTCCGGGAAATTATTTAGATACTTCTGCCAAAGTTTGGGAAATTTTAGGAATAAAAATGATGACAGCAATAATAGTAATGTTATATTTGAATTTTTATGTGTATGTTTGTGCAGTTATTAAAGCTGAAGTGTCTGTCCTTTATCTAGAGATATGTTTTGTGCTTTTGGAGGATGAGGTGAATTGGTATATCGTCACTAGCTACTGCTGTTTTTGTTTGTAATAATAATATTATTGAGGAAACGTCTTCCGGCATTTTGTTGATCTGAAATGTGCTTATAAATTTGTACACCATCCGTGCTTCTGTGACCTGTTCTTTTCATGATTAATTGTTCATCAACACCAGCTTGAAGTAGTCTAGTAGCAGCAGTCATGCCGCGAAGTGAGTGGTTTGTTTGTAACCATCGATTCCCCAGTTGCTGCAGCAAACATTTTAAACAGTATTTCTCCATTAAGAAGAGTGGCCTGGTTGGAGCTTCTCCAAATCTTTCATTCTTTCCTTGCACCAGTCATTCAGAATATTTTCTACCCATTATATTGCTTTTTTAGTTCTGCATGGCGCACAGTGCTGTTGTGCATCTTTAAATCCTTGTCCGTTGCGAAACAAGATGGTATATAGCACTAATGAAGTAGGCGGGGCAGTGATAAAATGATGAGATGAGATAGGCGTTTCCAGAGCTATCAGTGGCGGCTGTGTTAGTCGCATCTTTTGAGAACAGGCGAGCATGTCTACCTAGTTGCTTTTCCATTCTAGTGCGTGACTTAAAATGAATTGGTTGCTAATGGTAAGGATTTTTATACTTTTTGTGTATCCTAGCTACAAGAAATGCATCTAATCTGATTGGACGCATGGTAGAACACGGTTATACACCTCGGTCTCGGCATAATAGATTGTATTACTAAGTAACAGGGATAGGAAACAGATCACGTGATCTCATTCAAATTAATGAAAGCAGGTGCGGACGAACCTTGTAAGACTCTGCCCCTTCCCCGGCTCGTTGAGACAAGAGCAATATGACTGAGAGGACTGCTGGATTAAGTGTAGCTTGAAGCCAGATCCAGGGCAGTTATATAACTTATATTGTTGCTGAAGGTTTGCTTACTTATCAGAAACTGTTAAAGCTGTAATACAGCACTTTATTTTGAAGAAAAATGAGAAAAATCATGCTTTTTTACCATGCGTAATAGGTGTGAAATCTATTCAACCTATAACTTGCTAAGGGTAACTAAAACTGAGAGAGTGTCAATATAAAAAAACATGCATCAAGTAAAGCTACGTGCCACTAAAACACTTTTATTATCACTAGTGCTTCATACAGATCATAAGATCCCAAAATGTCTGTTTTTAGAGGCTTATCTGTTCAACCTATATCACAAAAAGTAAGTAAAATTAGGATAAAGGACAAAAACTGTAACAAAGATCAGGGTTTTTCACATGCCTTTAGCCTATTATATAAGCCACAGACGGCACTTTGGAAAAATAATAGCTGTATTCGTTAATTTGTGCCATCACAAAGGCAATTTCAATGATAACATGGGCCGCGAGAAGCGGCGAAGATTCTGTCAACAAAACTATGCTTAACCGTCACAAAGAACAGTCATGAACTCCCAAGACCTATCTGTTCATCATCGATAGTAAATAAAATTGAAATTAATACAGTTGGAGACTAGGAGAAGTGCTTGTGCAGTCTTTCCATTGCTTTTCCACCATTACAGAGCCTGTCCGTGTGACGTCATCAGTTTCCAATCCCTGTTACTTAGTAATACAATCTATGATTTGCCAGACCCACCCGTAGGCACGGAGGGTGTGGTCTGGCTACGCGAGACTAGTCGTTACCCGAGACCGCGTAGGCGTAGTCGAGGGTAAAGCAGTCGTCCTGTCTGTGTGTTCGCTTTGACCTCCACTTTTGAGTTGACACTGCTTTCTTGTCTTGTCCTGGAGAGTCTTATAATCAATACTGGCTCTAGAAAAAGTTATTCTCCGTCTTGGGAATCCTTGATTTGTCTTTTCCGTGATAAAAGAAGCTGGCAAACTCGCCAAACGTAGTCGGCTCTCCTGCAGCTCTTTCGTAGTGAAAGCAAAAGAGCAACAGGGTAGATAAAACAATTAAGCAAAGCCTCATCTTTCATTAATATGAGAGAAATTGTTCCAATCGTCTTCGTTTTAAAGATATGATAGCCCAAACTTTCATACCTTGTGAGTTTAGACGAGGCTCTCTTCTCCCGAGGTAGCGGCCAGAGTCTTTTAACATTAGGGACTAGATAGCAGTTTGTATGCAACAAATAGAGCCTAACAAATGTATGCTAAACTGTTTAAAAGTCGAGAAAAACCAAAGCTTTCTTCACCACTTAGGGCCATGTGCCACCATTTACTGTGTGTGGGGGCGGAGCATGGCTTGATTGAGCCACACCTTCATTGCAGCCACACCTTTACATTGCTGCAGCTAGCTAGCAGCAGTGCAACAAATATGCTGGAGCTCTTTGTCTAAAAAAAACAAAAAATTCTCTGTCTGTCTCAAAACATTCACTAAGTTTTAATAAATCTAGTGCATGTTGAAGCTTCTTTTCTGTCTCAAAACTTTCACCAATTATTTTCTCTTAATTTATTGAAACTGTTACATACAGATTGTGTCGAGGGTATGCACTTTAGTGCTCTCGTTCATTCATTCTGTGTGCTCTCTTTTGTCTTTGAGAATGTATATCTTTATAATCGCGCACTCTAAATCTGTGAGAGCTTCTCTTCTGTGAGGAAAAGTCTTGCTTTACTGCCTTGAGATGCTTAGAGAGCAGCTCTAGCTAGTAGAAGCTTTTTATCTCATGAGAAAATGCCCAGCAATAGCGGTAGTACTCTGGAGGTAAATGAGACTCTTTTCCAGTAGATCAAGACTAGTTATTGTTTTAATATGTGTGGCACTCTTTAAATCTTTCTTGTTGGTGAGTTATAGCTTCTTGAATTTCAACCCGAGTGAATTGTAGGTAGTCTAAAGGTCCTAAACTCTCTCAAATCACTCAATTTACATCTAGGCAACAGTATTTGTGCCATTATAATGTCATATAGCACTTATAAGAAGAGAAAAATCTGAAACTTCTTGTTGCAGCTAGGGTTGCTGCCATCAAACGAGACACCTACGGTGCATGGCCTCGCCCCTATAGCTGCTATGGTGCATGCCCGCACTGCAATAGCTGTTTGATTATCAGCATGAAGAGAGTCTGCTCAACACTAGCTTCCTGCAGTTGCACTTGCTCTTGAATACCTGCAGAAGTAGCAGCACTGCAGCACATACATGCAAGCAGCTCCAGCCCCTCCCATGCATGTAGATTGAAAGGTGTGGCATTCCATCATAACTGGAATGATTGGCAGCAAGAAGACCATGTGAGAAAGAAGCTTCACTTTTTCTTTACTAATCAGCAATATATGATAAACTTGCTGACAAAAAAAGTTGCTGCCTTTGTATATTTGAGATAGTATAGGTACTTTAGTACCTATAACCCAGCAAGTTGTTGCTCTAGCGCTGCACAAACGAGTGACCTCAACAATTTCAAGTAAGTATAAATCTTCATCAAGTAAGATTTAGAGAAATCTGTTCATAATTTTTGAAGGCCATGTTCTAATCTACTGAAAAATGCTACCAGCTATCTCTAAAGTGCCAACACAACGGAACTTGGCCCAACTACTCGATTTTCTTACTTTGAAGCTTCTGTACCTAGCACTTGTATTTGAGCAACACAAAACAATTAAGAAAGACTTTTCCACGTCAAAAAGAAAGATCTAGGAGCTTAGAACACGCTGTGCTAAAGTTATTGTTTATTAAAAACAAATTTCAGTTGTACAGAATGAATGAATGAATGAATGAATGACAGACACACACAACAACTACCTATACCTCGCGTAGGCGAGGCCAATGACTAGGCTTGAGCATATTAGGTTAGCATAATATTGAGCATAATGAACCACACTAGGAATTAAGCATTATTCCAGAATAGTCAATTAACTTCAACCATGTGACTTCACTCACTGAATGTGAAGTGTTAACATGGCTGCCCATTTAGCCCCCAGCAAAGTCACTCTCTTGGAGACTATGTACAATGTTCCTTGATGTTACTGTATAAATGTGTGATAAATAATAATTTTTTTATTAAAAAAATAATTTTTAAAATAATTCAGAATAATTGTAAGCATAGCCAATAAAATATTGTAAGCATAATGGCATATATCTGAAGCACTAGAGAATAGCATAATGTAAGGAAATGGTGGAATAATATGCCAAAGCCTACCAATGACACTTAGTCTTGTTGTTTATGATTCTTAATCATTCCCCACTAATCTGCGGGAGATCCTACTGCGCATGCTCGCAAACTCTTAATTTTAACTCTCGCGCCTCTTTGTATTTTTCAAAAATTTCCCGGGAAATGTTGTGTCCGGATAAATGGAGAGCATAGATCTCTGTGGAGGAGATGGCGGGAGCATTTGGGGTAGAAAACCAACGCCCAGAGAGAAGGATGGGTTAGTCCAGGTCAATTTATACTATTTTATCTTCTTTAGGTTTCTATTGAGTATCAGGAACACGAGAATTGGTCTGACTGCTGCTGGCCGCCATGTACCCTTTACCAGGGTGACATTTGGTTGTCATGGCAACTGGTTCATAGCAACCGATCAACTCGGCGTAATATATTCTTTTGATGTTTACAGAAACAAGTGAGAAATTTTAATTTTCTTTTTAAAATGCTACGTTTTAAAAATGACGTGTAGATATCAGGTTGTGTATCGGTTGGGAAAAACTTGTACGGCACTTCTGATAAGCCACACCTACTCTAATGAGCTTTTTGTAGCAACTAACAATTTAAATGTGCACTGTATAAATATCGGTGAGTATTAATACATGTACATGTACTCATTTTAAATTCACTCATCAATGAATGGTGACACCTTTATAAATTAGTGCATGTACATGTACATGCATTTTATCCTACCCATTTTTCATTATCAGTATTATTATCATTATTATTATTATTATTATTATTATTATTATTATTAATACATGTAGGTTCTCGTCAATTGATAACTACGTTTGGTCCCCATGAAGCGTCAATAAAGTCCCTCTCATTGCCTCAGAGTGGTCAGTATCTGTTAGTAGTGACAGCCTGTGACTCTGTCCTATGGGATATCAATACTGGCATAAGACGCAAGACTTTGTGTGGAGGTGAAAGTGTTGGGGTGCAAGATGTAAGTTCCTCTCTCTCTCTCTCTCTCTCTCTCTCTTTTATAACCTCTTGGACTGTGTAGCCTCGATAATAAGGACACCTTTATAATGAGGACACCTTTATAATAAGGACACCTTTATAATGAGGACATTTTGTTACTTTTGTAATGTCCCAAGTGGTGCAACCCTTTACAAAGTTACCACTGAAATGAGGACACCTCTACAGGTAGTGTGGGCCTAATGGTGTCCTTAATGAAGAGATTGCACATACATTTTTGGAAAGGGGCTGGAAATATTCTTATAATATTTTTAATGATTTGTTATTCCTAATTTCATGGTAGGTGTTCTTCCTGCCACTGACTAACAGTATCATAACTTGTTTCAAAGATGACTCCATTCACGTGTGGGACACTAGTACACTTGATTATAAATACAACCTTCCACTTCCGTCCGGCCCTCCTCCTCATTACAGAGCATTCGCTACCACACAAGATGGTAAGCATATGCACTAACGTTATGTACATGTACATGTGTAGCTATAATGGGGAGTTCTCTCAGTAGCCAAAGTCCCTGTACTTTGTCACAGCCGATTTTTTGTAACTTTAAAAATTCATAAAAAATTATAATTTGATCAGAATCAGCTCANACTTTCTACGCAGCATAAGAACATGTATATGCATCAGAAAAAATTATAAAAAGAGAATTCTCTACTTTACATTTTTGATGAAATTTGG